CTACTTGTTTTGCCAAATTTTATGTCCTTTATATTTGGAAAAAAATATTTGAAGATTCAACAATTTCAAATTTTATATGTTATTTAATACTATATTCACATTAAAGTATTAAATTTTATTGAATAATCAAATTTCTTGAATAAAACATTATTTTTAAAAAAAATATCAAAATTTCAAAGTAAACGCGTTTTCTATTTTTCTGTTTTGAGAAACCGTTTTTCAGAATGACAAAAAATTTTCAGAAATTTCAAAATAGACACTCAAAACACAAAACACAAAATGAAATCAAAACTCAAAACACAAAACTGAAATACGAAGAGAACAGCCCCTAATTTACTTCGAAATACTTAACCAAAAATATTGTGCAATCTATTCATGAACGTAAACTCCACGTGTTTATATTCAAGTGAGTTTGACAGTAAGGTGAGGAAACTATAAATTTAGTGGATTAGTGAGAAGGTAACGCTTTTGCTTATTTTTAATTTAATTCAATGCAATAAGATAGAAGAAAAGGCGACAATGAGAAAATTCATTGGCTGTGGAAAGCGATGAGAAAGCGGGGTTATCACATTTTTAATCGATGCTGGCCATACTTGAAAGGCTAATGTTATTTTGAATTACTTTAAAAGAAATAACGTGTATGTTTATTTTTTATTTAATTCAATGCTATAGGATAGAATGAAAAAGTTCATTGACTGCAGAAGTCGATGAGAAAGCGGGATTATCACATTGTTAATCCAAGTGGGCCACACTTGAAAACTAATGTTACTTCGAATTACTTTAAAAGAAATATTGTTCAATCTAGTTATGCATGTAAACTCTACCTATTTATATTCTAGTGAGTTTGGTTGTTACGTGACGAAAATATAATTTATTCGGTTTAGTGAGAATTAAAACGCTTTTGTTTACTTTTTATTTAATTCAAATGCTATAGGATGGAAGAAAAAACGAGGAAATTCATTGATCGTGGAAGGCGATGAGAAAGTGGGGTTATCACATTTTTAATCCATGCTAGCCACAGTTGACAGACTAATGTTACTTTGGAATATAGGGGTGAACCGCATCCATAGCGGCCCCCACCTACCCTGCCCTAGGTCTTGGTGAAGGAGGTAAATCGCAGGTTATNCTACCCTGCCCTAGGTCTTGGTGAAGGAGGTAAATCGCAGGTTATGCCTCCAAGAGTACAGGGTGGAAGGCTGCTTGTACACTTACACTTACCCAAGGGCCAAATCCATATTTCAGGATTCGAACCCTTGACGCGGCAGCCTTAAGCAAAGCTGGAGCTTTTCCACCTTCCCCTTTTACCACTTGGAGATGTGCCCTGGGGGCTTACTTTGGAATATAAATAGTATTAAATGTAGTCATACACCTAAACTCCGCTTGTTTATATTCTAGTGAGAACAGGAGACCTGATTTGTTTTTAGGCAATCCGAGCCTAAAAACTCCATTTTTCCAAAATTTATAATTTTTTACGATCTAGAAATTGTATAAAAATAACATTAGATCAAAGTCCTAATCCACCTTTCAAACCCACGAGTTTGACTTGAAACATCAAAATTGTCTCGAAATCAAACTAAAACTTGAAGAGGATTGTGATCACGATCAAAACTTCATTCACTAAATAGCAGTGTTCTAAGTTTTTGTTTTACATTAGTTTCAAGTTTTTAAATGATTTTATCTATACAAAAGTTAAAAAAATGACTTTGTTCGATAAAGAGAGGTAAGATTGAAGCTACCGTACTATCTACATTTTGTAATCATGAACATTTTGTAATCATAATTTTGAGACTTATCGTTTTGTTGAAATTTTCAAAAGTATGTATGAAGTTACAATTAATCTATTAAATAGGATTTGTGTAGTAAAAATTGAAATTATGAAAAATAGTGTAGTTTTTGTACGTCCTTGTTTGAGCTTTTTTTTAAAACTCATTTTTAACCATACATCCTCCCATTAAATAATTATACACGTATTTCAAATTTTTTTTCTTATTAACCACACGTTCTCAAAAAAATCACTAATATTCTAATTCTTGCATTTTGAAAATTTGAAAATTTGAAAATTGACTAATGGTATGAATTATTAAATAAATATAGTATTTTATAATTTTAGATGTTTGATATGTATTATTTTAATTATTAAATAATATTTAAAACGATTAAAAATATATAATAATATCAAAAATAAGAAAATATTTTTTTTACACTTAGATCTTGTTTAAGCTCATAAAGCTTGAAGTTTGGTCTACATGTTTAATCACGTTTTACGCTTTTTTAAAACATTGCTCAATAATTGATACTCTTTCAAATTGATACATCATGTAGAAAGCTTATCTATAAATTTGCTTAGCTAAAAATACCAGAAAATTAATAAAATAAATAAAATAAAATGGTTCTCATTTTTCTTTTAACCAGGTATTGTTTGATGGAAATTGGTATAATATAAAACCTTGAAAAAGTGATTTTTTTGTCAAAGTTCAGCCAAATATTTGAATTTAATTCAATAGTCAAATTATGAAAATAAATAGACTAACATGTTCTAATCATTTAGTAAATGATTTTGGTCTATTTGAAAACTCAAAATCAATTTCGGATAAATAAAAAATTGTAGTTCAAAGTTTGAAGGAAAATGAGAAAAAAAACCAACATAAGACAGCCGTTCGAGCGGCAACCTAGTCCCAGGCGAGCGACAGAGTTTCTACTTTTGGTGCTCGAGCGGCACTCCAACGGTAGGTGAGCTACAGATTGGATTGCGACCTTTCATGAAAAATGCTGAGTTTTGGACGTCTCTTCAACTAAGCCCCTCACATTATATATAAAGGACCCCCAGAAGCCATTTAGTCATTCCATATCATGTTCTTTGTTGATTTTGCATTGAAACGCTTCATCAAAATGGTTTTCTTATACATCAAAGTCGTGATTATGATAGAGAAAGAATTATGTTCGAATTCGTAGGTTTATGTAATTTGGAAAGCTCCTATTGCGAGACGTGGTTGTTGTTACTTTGAAATACTTTATCAAAAATTGATTGTTAGGTGTGAAAAATATATTATTATTTAAGGAAAGTCAACAATGAGGAAATTCATGGGATGGGGAAGGTGACGAGAAAGACAGGTTCTCACATTTTTAATCCATATCGGCAAGACTTTAAAAACTATTCTTTTACTTCGAAATACTTTATCAAAAATATCCTATTGAGTTTTACCGTTAGGTGTGAAAAATATATTATTATTTAAGGAAAGTAGCTGAGGAAATAAAAATTTGAATTCCGCTGGAAACTGTACAACACAGAAACACACCAGACCACACATAAGTAGGTGGGGCCCACCATTTTTTTTGCAATATTTAAATACACTGTGGAGTCTACTGTTTTAGTCTATTCTGGCCAATTTTTGTTGCTCCTTCTTCTGTACAAATGGGAAAAGCCTATAAATTTACGGTTCGCAGGAAGATAATGTGTTCGCTTATTTTTAATTTAATTAAATGCAATAGGATATTTTGCACTTTTCAATTTCCCCCCATAAAGAAACTCAGATAAGATCCAATTGAAATACTCAGAGCACTTTTCGAGTTTGCAGAATGAACACTGTTCAAGATCCAGATATCGTTGCCTTGTACAGCAAAATACACAACAATCCAGAGTACTTGGATGTCCCCAATGAGATGACATTTGTGGAGTCACCTCTTCATACTGCTGCTTCAGAAGGCCATATCGGCCTTGCCCTTGAAATCTTGAGGCTAAAACCTTCGCTGGGAAAGAAATTGAACCTTGATGGTCTTAGTCCACTTCACCTTGCTTTGGGTAATGGACACACCAACTCCGTGAGACGACTCGTCAAGCATGATCCGGAGCTCATTCGTGTCCAAAGGAGGGAAGGGATCGCTCTTTTGCATTACCTAGTGGAAAAAGAGGAAATTGATCTTTTGATTTATTTTCTTCTCATCTGTCCACTCTCAATATATGAATTGACCGTTCGAGATGAGACTACTGTGCATATTGCTGTAAGGAATAACAATCTTAGAGCTTTTACGGTTTTGTTAGCAAGTCCAACCTCGGCGCGGCGAAATTTCTCACATTTGGTATGAATCTAGGACCCGTAGTGACTCGGATGGCTGACATGAAAGCATTACGATGAAGGTACAGCATCAAATGTTCTGTCATGTCTCACAATCAATATTGCAAAAAGCACATCTTAGCGCGCAATGTCTTACTATTTTAATTTTCATGTCTTGCTTGAGGAAGTTTTTAACTTTCGTTTGAGTTGTAATCACTTAGAGTCCGTTTAAGCCTCTATTTGCAAAAAAATTATAAAAATGAGTAATGAACAATTGTTTGTAATATTTTGGGGCTCCAATAACCAAATTTCCGAAAACACCAAAAACGACACCACACACCTCAAGCTCGACTCACCACCTTCCTCCACTTGGTTGCTCCAAAATTTACATCCACAAAGGATCATGGTGGTGGTGGTTAGCAAGTCCACATAGGAAGGAAGAATAAGACAGTAACAATGGTAGAATCTCGCCAAGAAATCTCCCCACAAAGGCCGGCTACCTCTCTCTCTCTGCCCTTTCTCTCGTACTCCTCTCTTCCACAAACAATCAACCTAATTTGGGCTAAGACTCACCTCTCTTGATGGGGCCAACAAAACCAATAAATGGGCTAAGTTAATGGACTAACAATAATCCCAAAAAACCACACAATAATCAAAGCCACCAATCCATCTCCAACTTGGGCCTTCCAAAAGTATCTATAGTATTCGTGGTGATAATTCTGATGATGATGCGGCTTCTTCCACATCGAATTCGAGGGCGAATTTTTCTTACCATGGGGAGAATGATGAAGTTGTTAAAATTTAGGGTTCCATTGGAAAAGGTCAACATTGTTAAGAGGAGTAGTCTAAAATCTTTATTAATTGGTCTGTGTCGACATCATTTATTGATGTGGGATATATATCCCTTAACACGCCCCCGCAAAATGGTGGCTCATTTGAATAGATCAATCTTGAAATCGACGTACTCATTATAGAGTCTTAACGGGATCGAATCGCTCGTTGGAGTATAATGGGCTCTGATACCATGTTAAGATTTGGGATTCCATCTTAAAAGGTCAACCTTGTTAAGAGGAGTAGCCCAATATCTTTATTAATTGGCCTGTGTCAACATCATTTATCGATGTGGGATATATATCCCTTAACATGCCCCCGCAAGATGGTGGTTCATTTGAGCAGACAAATCTTAAAATCCATTTGCTCATTTTAAAGTCTTAACGGGATCGAATCACTCATTGGAGTATAATGGGCTCTGATGCCATGTTAAGAGTTGGGGTGTTAATAATTGCTCTTCAATCTTAAAAGGTCAACATTATTAAGAGGAGTAGCTCAAACCCTTTATAAATTGGTCTATGTTTTTATCTTTATTCGATGTATGATTATATCCCTTAATATGTCCCCGCAAGATGGTGGCTTGTTTGAGCAGACCAATCTTGAAATTCGTATGCTCACTTTTGGCGTCCTAATCGGATCGAATTGCTCGTTAGAGTTTAATAGGCTTTGATACTATGTTAAGAATTGGGGTTCAATCTTAAAAGGTCAACCTTATTAAGAGGAGTAGCTCAAACCCTTTATAAATTGGTCTATGTTTTCATCTTTATTCGATGTGAGATTCTATCCCTTAACACACCCCCGCAAGATGGTGGCTCATTTGAGTAGACCAATCTTGAAATTCACGTGCTCATTTTAGAGTCTTAACGGGANGTCATTGAGAAGATTAATCCAAATGCTTATCGTTTAAAGCTGCCAAGTCATATTCGCACATCCGACGTGTTTAATGTCAAGCATCTGGTGCCATTTCGTGGTGATAATTCTGATGATGATGAGACTTCTTCCCTGTCAAATTCGAGGGCGAATTTTTCTCACCATGGGGAGAATGATGAAGTTTATAAGGAGTTAGAATTTATGATGAAGTAGGATCGCAATGCAAAACAATGATTTCATGATAACTTCGGGTTTGTCCGTTCTTGGCAAAGTGATAGTGTAATTCGATTGGAAACGGACTAAGGATCACAACTCGTGGCCTTTAGCCATGACGTACGTCGGGTTTCGGGCAGATTCCGTCGTTTAGGCTCTCGATTAAGTGTTTTTGCCGTTTATGGTAATTCTTATTTTGGTAATATCTCATTCAATAAAATTTGGATTTGGATTCCGTTTATTGGAGGACAATCCTGAATCTTAGGAGTTTCAATTTAAGTCAAAATCTCGAATTTTTTCATTTATGGAAAAATATATATTTTTATTTATATTATTTATTTTTCGAATTTTGTTATCTCATCTTTGTGAGGTTGTTTATCTTTCCTATAATCTTCCGCTACGTCAAATGGGTATATATATTAGGTTATCAACCTAATTTGGGCTAAGACCCACCTCTCTTGATGGGGCCAACAAAACCAATAAATGGGATAATTTAATGGACTAACAATAATCCCAAAAAAAGACACAATAATCAAAGGGAAATTATAAAAAATCAGGGGTTTAAAAATAGCTTTTTAAAAATCAGGTCCAAAGTTTATTTATTCAAAAATTAGGTAATATATTACTACCCTAACCCTAATTTATCACTCTCAACTCTCTCACCCCTCTCTCTTTCTCGCGCGCCTCCTCTCCACTCTCCTCCCATCCCCTTCCCCCCTCCCTTTTCTCCGTCGTCGGTCCGACGACGTAGTGCCGACGTGCTGCTGTAATGAAGAGGAGATGACACAGAAGCAGATCCACTGCACCACCGCGAAGCAAATCCACTACATTGCCGCACTTTTTCCTTCGTCATATTCCCCTCCCATCTCTCTCACCTCTCGTCTTCTCTTCTCCTCCCCTATATCTATCCTCTCTCTCTATGAATGGTGCGACGCTGTCGTGAATGGCAACGTCGCAACAGTAGCGTCGCGATGCCCAATGCTGTGCCAACTGATGCAGTGATAGCATCGCGATGCTTGACTATTGATGCAGGGTGGATCTGGAGGTGGGACTGGTGTGGTGTTTTGTGTGGTGGTGGTGGTGGTGGCTGATGTGGGTATGGTTATGGCGATGTGTAGTGTATGGTGTTTTGTGTGGTGGCGGCTGTAAGGTGGTGCTGGGGACATTTTCAAACTTATCCGTGGGTGTCGCAGGGCGTAACTGATGTAAAGGTAGGTGGTGATTCTGCAGGCGGTGGCGTTGGGGTGACGGCGTGGTGGTTTGACTGTGGAGTTTTATTGGTTGTGTGCCGTTGATGGTGGTGACCGTGTGGTGTGGCTATGACGGGTTTGGGTTTTTTGTTGGGTGGTGGTTGTGGTGTGATTTGGATTGTTAGTGGTGGTGGTTGATGGTGGCTGGTGGTAGTGGCCGGAGATTCGATAGTGGTAGTGGTTATATTTTTGTTGGCAGTTGGTTGGATCTGGTAGTGACGATTTGGTGGTGGTGATGTGTGGTGTTGGTGTCGGTGGTGGTGCTGTCGTGTTGGTGGTGATAGTGACGGGATGGTGGTGGATCTCATAGCGGCGAATCCGTGACTAAAAATATAATCTGTGACCCATCATTTTGTTGTCTGTGACCTAAAATTTATATAATACGTGACCGTGAAAAAATATGTGACCAACTAATTTGGAAATTTGTGTCTGTGTGATCTATAAATTTTGATATGTGA